CATGAACAGGTCTACTCACGAGAGAAAAGATATTCTAGTTGGAAGGGAAAATAGTAGAAAAGAAAGGTAAGAAAAGGCCAGGAAAATGAATTCCGCGAATGGTGTGATGCCATGAACGAGAGGCCAAGAGGTGAAAACCGGCGATCTCTCTCTCTCTCAAAATCGCTGCAACTTGGCGCTCTATGATAAACTCATTTGCTCCTTGTATTATTCTCTCTGTAACATTCTCTCCCTCCTCTTATCTTAACCATTGTTTTGTATCTCATTTTCTTTATTCTGAATTCTCTTCTGGTAGGTAATTCCATTTTGGTTGTGTCTAATTTGCAGGTTTGCAGCAACTAAACCATCTGCAAATTCTCCTCCTTTGATGTCCGTTGGTTACTGCTACTCGTTTTCCAATTTGTTAACTCGATTACTTTCTGGTTCATCTTATCTGTGAATTTATGACATTTGATTGATGCATGCTCTCTACTCCGTTAATTACCCATGAGTAGACCTGTTCATGGGCCGGGCCGGGCTTTTAGTGTTTATTAACAGTAAAATAATAGGCCCGAGCCCAAGCCCGGCCCGACCAATGGGCCTAGAACTTGAGCCCAAGCCCGGCTCTGATAAAAAGCCCGAAGTCCGACCTAATAAAAGAAAATCAAAATTTTCACATTATCTATTTTAATTCAGATTTTTTTTCTCCTGTTTAAATGAACAATGGGCCTACAAGTGAATCAATAACCTTTTCAAATCAAAAAAAATTATTCAGATGGACATCACATAGGGTTTTAACTTAGGTTTAACTATAGGTCGGGCCAGGTTTACTTAGGTTTAACTATAGGTCAGACCAGGCCGGACTCGGGCCGAGCTATTTTGGCAAAGCCCAAACCTGACTTGAATTTTATGCGGGCCAGGCTTTTTGGCTCGAGATTAAACCCGCGGGCCAAAAAGCCTGTTCAAACCCGTTCGGGGTCAGGCCGGGCCGGGCCGGGCCGGCCCATCGGGCCACAAGGCCCATGAACAGGTCTACCCATGAGTGATTAAGATCTGTTGCATTTTAGTCACAGTTTCTGCTTGGTAGAACTCTTAGAGATTAGAAATACTGGTTGGAGTTTTTCTTTTTATAACTAATCATGATTTTCCCCTAGTTCATTTGAAATTCTATTTTTGCCTCTTGATTAGTTTGCTCCGTTGAGCTGCAGGATTGCATTTGTTGGAAAGTGTGCCTTAGCTTTTGGAAAGTGTCGGGTGGCTCAGCTGATAAAGATCGTTGATGATTGGAGGATTTAGTTCCCACTGAGGATTAATTTGAGTGAAAATAAAACAGCTAGCCCCTTCGTGAAATCCTAATAAACATCTTATCTGATTTCTTGCAATAGTATTTATTATTTAATAATCATGCAATAAATGTTTCTATCTTTCATTCAAAACCCTTTCTTTAAAAGACGTCAGGGAGTGTTGTTTCAAGATGAACATATCCTCTCTAGTCTCTATTTCTTTAGCCTTAGTAGTGTTTCCACCTATGGTTCAACTTTCTTAACTTTTTCTTTATGTTCCTTTTGAATGGCGGGGTTTTTTTTTTTTGGGGGGGGGGGGGGATCTGATAAAAGTGGATTCTGTTTCCTTTTTTTATTGCAGTCATTAGATAAGGGCTGAATTCCAAAATATTGTAGATTTTAAAGGGAAGAACTCTTATGATTATAATGAATTAAAATTCCTTAGAGGGAATTGTTATTTTATAACGACTTTCTTAAGAAGAAGGGGGAGATCTTTAATGTCCCATTTTCATTTCTGCACCTCAATGCAAGAATGTCTATTTGCTTCCATGTTATTTCATTGTCTTATTAATCACCATATCATCATCAGGGGAATCAATCGTCCTTCTTTGCTTGTTCATATAATTTAGGTTCAATTATTGAATATGAATTTTATTTAATCTGCATGAATTTAGATATCTAAAGTTCAAAGTGGAATTACAATTCTGCAGTGCTTTCCTTCTCATCTACCTTACTCTCAACCTATTAACTTTATACTTATCCCCAGTGTGGAAATTGGAATGGGGGACAGTTTTCCTTTGAAGTGTAAGCAGAGGAGGACCTCAGCTAACCGGGATTTCCCCAAGGATTGTGGACGGTTTGCATTGAGAACTATAGGAGGATTGAGAGAATGTGATGCGATTGCAATTGAGGAGTCAATAATTGGGGTAAACAGCACTGCCATTTTAGAACTCAACCCTGCCATACAAGCCTCTGTAGTTTTTTCTGAGTTGGAATATCCTGAATTTTCAAAAGGTTCATTTCACACAAAACCCTCCAACTTGATGAAAGATGTGAAATCTGAGGCTGCAAAATCATTTGAGTATCCAGATGAGGTAGAAGCACCTGAATCAAGAACTGTAGAGCCTTTGGTGCCAAAGGCTCTGGATAAATCAAAATTACTTGATATGTCAAAAAATTTAGAGCCTCATGCCAGCGGTCTTTTGGGATTGCAGTCACTTAAAGAGTACCAGCATCAGTCTTTTATTGCTAAAGATGAATCTAAGGAGATTTCATTACAAGACTACTGTCAGATGATAATCTCAGCAGAACGATCTTTTCCACCAGCTTGTGGTAGAAATGCTCCACATATAAACTGGGAAAAGAATACCTGAAAATCATTGCTTCTTCCAGAAGCAAGAGCTTCATCAATGGAAAGCATAGTGGAGAACAAACTGGAGAGAAAGAGCAAGAGGGACATGTAGCTAATAGCAAATTGATAGATAATGTTACAAAAGTAGTTGCAGAAAAGGTTCAAATTAAGTCCAAAGGTAATGTTGTCAAAGAAATGCATGACCAATTTCAAGTCACTACAGCTTCTGATATCAGGAATGATGCCAAACAAAGCAGAGTTAAAATTCAAGTCGGAGATTCTCAGAACAACAAACTGCAGAGGAATCTAAACAGGGAAAATAAGGATCGAGTTCAAGTTAGTAAGTTGAAAAGAAAAGATACAAAAGAAATGAACATGAGACTCCAACAGAAGAGAGAACAACTTCATTCTCATTGTGTTCCCCAGTAAGTGGTTAAAAAGGTTGAGAGAGAGAATGGGTTTTGGGAGGGAAAAGTGGGGAACGAAACTGTGGGACATGGAAAGGACAACCATTATAAGACAAGGTGTTTGGAGAATAAAGATGAGAGTAGTACGATAAATCAAATTCAAGAATGATAGGGTGATTGTGCAGGCTTTGATGGCTGCACCTTACTGTCCATGGAGAAAGAGAAAACAGGATTTAAAATCTACCCAGACAGACGGTACAACCTAAAACAATGGAAGACAAATGGTGTAAATGGATTATTCTCATGGTCATCAAATAAAGTTTACTTCTGAAATAAGAATGTAGGTGTCACTTGTGTGCAACTCATTTTAGTTTCAGAGTTGCTCAATTGTGGACACATGAGATGTCACAGTGACAAGCACCTGGATTGATTCACTGATGGATCTGAACCAAAAAGAAAAATGTAAAGTTCATTTAGAAACTAGTCATTTGATATCTTGATGTGTGGCATGTGTCTTATTTTCTTGGTGGAACGTGGAACCTCTATTCTGTATCTACCGGACAATGGTCCTGATTTTGTTTATGATAATATGCATGGCTCTAGTTTATTAGGAGGATATTTCAATGACTAATATTTAGCTCTGAAGCTGAATAAAACATCTAAATTGTAAAAGTTGGGGTCGGAATGGAATTTGAACCCCCACCACTACATGCTTTGCCTGATTGTTTAAATGCATGGGCTCTAAATTTTAACCTTTAGACATTTTCTCTTTTTAAAGCATATCTATCAAAAAATAAAGATAAATAATTTCTATTAACTTCTTATTTATGAATATTAACAATAGTTATATTTTTTTTGGTTCAGTTAACAAGAATTATATTGGTTTCCTAGAATTAAGATACTTGTTCATATTTTTCATTCTATCATTTTTCACCATTTCTCAAACGTCTTACAGTAGTTGTGGACCTTGTGGCTATTCACACCATATGTCCTAATTTTACACCGTATCTTAACATATCCAAAACTCCTTTTACAACTGCATTTCCTATACTTTAAACCTTGACACTCTCACCCAAATGATGGTGGCTGTAGTGGTTGCAGGGACTGCGAAGAACAAACTAGAATTAGAGATTATCTAACAGTGGTAGTTGTTTGACTTGTTTCCAAACAAGTGGTTATTGCAGTTGCTTTTGATCAGAGATAGTTGCAACCGGTAGCGGTCAAATAACGGTAGTTGCATCCCACCAAGCAGTGGTTGTGGTGAATGCAATCAGCAGTTGTTGCCTTGCCTGGCTAATGGTGGTGGTTTCTTCTGATCAAGCAGTGGTTGCCTTAATTGCAATCAGCAGTGATTGGAGGCTTACCTCAAGAAGGTTTACAAGACAAAGGATCCAGAAGATCCAAACCATTTTAGATTGAAATGCCTCCATTTCTAAAGCACGAGCAGCGACATTGTGTCCTGCTCATGGTTTTAGATTAAGAGATGGAAAGTATGTGCTGCCTTCCTAATTTGCTTTGTCTGACTCAAGTAGAATGCAAGTTTTTGTATTTCAATTGATCTTGATTCTTGTTCATATATCTAGACCGGTGGAATAAAGGTCAGTTAAACTTTCAAGTTTTAACTTGGGTTCGCAGCAAGCAAGCGACACTTAGATGGAACCCCTTGCACTAAGCAGCAGCTGATTCTATTGTAAGTGGAGTTGCCTTCGTAACAATAATACAAACACGCACAAACTAGTTGAGTAGCACCTACATTTTGCACACGCCAGAAGGAAAAATAATGGTGAACTGGACATGAGGCCAAGTAGCAAGAAATCGGCATATCTATCTATATGTAGTTGGACCATGTTGGATTGCTGGGGTTCTAATATTCTTCTATTAGAGGCAAGGAAAGAGAATATTTATATTGATATTTCCTGTTTCCATCCTTGTATAGAAAAAGTGCACTAAATTCATCCATTTAATAACTTCCAAGACAAGTGAATTCAAAACTGAGGAGATTTTCTCTTCAGATAAACAACCACTAAGAGGAGCCTCAAAAGAGTATAAACTGGGAAATTTTCCACATAGTATGCAATATCCATAGATGAAAAAGTAGTTCCTGGACAGAAGTCAATACCCGAACCATTACTCTTGCTGTGTTGGAAATGAGGCAGAGTGGTGATGATAGAAAACTGCCAGATTGAGCGAGAAATTAAAAAGGAAGAGTGAATAAAGGAGGATTTAAAAGAAGAGATGGAAAAACTACTACAGAAAGTGTGAAGGAGAAAAAGAAAGATGAGTCGACACAGCAAGGAAAAGACAGCTATGGTGCGTTCTTGACTCCCTCTTTAAGGACTTCTCTTTCAAGGTAAAATGTGAAAGTGCTGTTGTAGAAATCTAAATTACGAGCTTTGGAAGAGGAAGCAGAAATAGATGATGGACCCATTTCAGCTCTTGATGAAAGCATTCAAATACAACCACCCAACCAAATACCTCTCCCTTTTGAATGTAGCCAGCAAGAGCCCGAGTTCTGTTGTCTTCAAGAGGGTAAAGAGCAGATAAAGAGAGCTGTGAAGCAGGACCATTTTAATAGTAGATCATCAGGAACTGGGACAATTCAAGGCAGCTTTGATTTGCTGGACAGTGGTGCTGATAAGATTATTAACCGTTGTCACTGACTCTAGGTTCAACTTTGCAGATGGCAAGCTGCTCACAAGAATCTGAAATGCTACAGTTATGAGTGATCCACTTGACTTGCTCATACTCCCTTGCAATGAACTTGTTGATGCTCCCATTACTTGGTCCAACTGCCCATCCGGAGAAATAGTGAATCCTGATGGCAGTAGACTGATGTGAGATGGGTCCTCCCCACTCATTGCTATATTAATGGCTGTAAGATCCACAGGAGAATAGACAACCAGTGATCCTGATGAATCTGTACAACTTTCCTGAAGTATCAACATATTGTTCTGGCTAGCATTAAAAGCCTGTCGTAGATAATCTGGTTATTAGCCCACTACCGTGGCAGAATAATCAGAGACAAACCAAAGAAAATGACAAAATGGAAGCTCTAACTCTATGCATGTAGGCATTGTGATGAAAGAGCATACCCGAAGAACAGATATACAGTTTCCTGGATGTGATCCATTTGCAATATGGGCAACCTCTTGGACTGAGTTACCATTTGAAAGAACATCCCACTGATAAAATAAAAAGCAATATTAATATATGTGATAGTCATTCTGTTTTTAGGCATGTCAGAACATTGATGAATCAAAAATTTTCAATTCATATACACCTGAGCTCGAGTCCTCTCGTCTCGAAAGAAATTGAAGACATTTTGAGGAGAAACCGGAAGCCATATAGAGGTTGTGGCACTGAGGACCACACCATTAGGCTGGCCAGCTTCTGTACTCTTGTGAACAGTTACCCGAACACCAATGTCATTCAGTCCAGAAAGTGTAGTCCAACGGTGACCATTTGATGCACTTATGCTAGCACAAAAACTATTAATCATTCTCTGGGCAAGCTTCATCATGCTTCTCCTTCCTTCAGCTGAAGGGATCACTGCACACCAGCATCATAATTAATAACACAAATGTAAAATGTCAAAGGACTAATCCACCATTAAAATCTGATCAAAAGAAGATAAGTGATCAAAAGAATCTTATTTCATACCTCCTCCAAGATCTCGAGCAGAGGTAGATGTCACCATCTGGCAAGCAAATCTTTCACACATCCTCTGCAGTGTTGCAAGCCATCTTTCAGCTCCAAATGCCATCCCACTGTAAACTAAATCTCTATAAAGCCTATGAGTAGAGGTCTTCTCTTCCAATTCCATATGTTCCACCCAAGAGATCTATCAAAATATTTCTCAGAACATGGGTTTGCCAGGTTACAACTTGCTTGGGTGTGACAGGGAATGAACAACAGAGAACATGAATCTAATTAATTTTTACCTTGGAATATCCATTGGGCATGTCTTGAATCAAGCATCCAGAGGGAAGCCTTCGACAATGAGAAGATGAGAGGAATTGGTTTTCTCGGGAGGAATCAAAGGACACATCCACTATTGCCCACAAGCCTTGCTCAATTTGTTCACAATAACGGAGAAAGTAGAGTTCTCGAGTTGACACAAGAGGTGAGAGCACCTGCAATTCTGCATAAATCTGCATATACTATTTTATATCAGACTGAATCCTCATAAATTAGCAACCAAAAATTGTTACTGGTAAAAAGATACCAACCGAGAAATTATTCTGATAAAATAGAAGTGATGAACATACTAATAATTACCAGTTGTAAAGAACCACTTCGATTTCCAATCATCCCAGAGGAAAGTACTTCAACGGTCCTCGCCTTAGAGACGATAGTAGGGAACAACTCAACCCATTTGTTCTGCATTTAATTCAAGCATCATTAGATGAATGAGAACCGCAAAATTGAGTAATTATCCCTTTTGTTTATGAATTGGATTACAATAAAATAAAGGAACAGAACTTACCGAATTCATAAACATGTCAACTAATGCCAAACCATTCATAATCACCACACCTGAGTCTCTTGATGCCTCAATCTGAACATTGGGGTTTTTCATCCGATTAGGTCTTGGAAAAGTTCGTTCATAGTTTTCAAGGTCAAGAACATCCCTCCCGTCAGTTGTAGACTTCATCCACAAAGGTTCATCTGTCTGCAAAAGTCTGATTAATTCATCCAGGGCATTCGCAGCTATTTCTGCCATTAGTGGCTTGTCCATCTCCGAGATTACTACTGTCTGAAACGGAAACTGTGGAACTGAAGAACTTCCTGGAAGAAGATCAAGATCAAGAGAAGGCCCAACCATTCCTTGACCACCAAAACTCCCTACTGATAAATCCAATGAAGAAACTGGAATAGGTTGAATAGTTGGGAGTTGTGAAATAGGCCTTCCAATGTACTTTGCTGCAATGCTAGATACCCTATCAAGCTGTAAAAGTATCTCAAAGAAAAAAAGAAAATGAACAAAACAAGATCTAGAAATGAGAAAAATAGAAGCGATCTATGTTCCGGTCATCCAAATGTTACCTCTTCTCTCAGTCGGGCATTCTCCATTCGCAGCTTTTGTTCATCAAAATACATGTCATCCCCCACAGGAGGACCACCACATGATGGGCAGATTACATTCTTCAGTGCCTCTCTGATTGCTATGTTCTCACACCTGATCTTATCATTCTCTGCCCGAAGGGCACAATTATCCGCACGTTCATGTTGTGCCTGGAGTAGAATACAGAGGAGAAAAGGATACTGGTATATGAAGAATCATCCAATGGAGAACAATACAGAGGAGAAAAGGGCATACCACACTCCCTTAAGAGAAAAAAATAAGAAACAACTCTACCTTCATCTGTGTTCTCCTGTTTTGAAACCAAAATTTTATTTGGCGAGGCTCTAGCCCCAAATCCCTGCTTAGTTGCATGCGTTGTTTTTCATCTGGGTGGGGACACTCCTTGAACATCCTTCATCCCCATAAATAACAAAATCATTACCATCACAAGAATAACCATCATCAACATCAACAAAGAGAATATCATTACAGAAAATGACAAAACAAATAGCCAGTATATCCATTGGAATAATGTTTCAAATCAAGGTAAACCAAACCAAGAATATGGACCAAAAATAAGGTTGACATCAACAAAAGAAAACATGATAAAAGAGAGATGTAATGACATGATAAAGGAAACAAAGTTCTGAACAAGATAAGTACAGCAGGCCCCTTGTAATTAATTTTATATGAAAAATAATACCTTCCATCATTGTTTTGAGGAATTTAGAATGTACTATTAGATGTTAGAATAAATGTCCTCTATATGTATAAGGGTCATCTTAGTTTTAAAAAGCATTTTTAGAAATTAGTAACTTGGAATTGTAAATCATGTATAATAAAAGGAGAAAACAACTGAATAAACGCCAAATCTCTTATACACTTCCTCTTCCTCCATCCAAAATAATAAAAAATGAAGGAATTGGTTGGAGGTAGTGGCAGTTCAGATAGATATATGCAGATCAGAAGTCAGAACATCATTGAACACTTGAGGGAATTAAAAAATGGAAAGCTCAACAAGATCAAATGTATTAGTCCAAAACATAAATAGTTAACTGAAAAAATAGAAATAGGTTCATGCTTCAATCTTGTCGCAAGATCATGCATCACCATTTGCATATATTTCTAATTGTTTCTACAAAAACTAAAGCAGCACTACAAGGCCTATTATATTCTAAACAACAACAATAAGAACAATAGCAGAAATAACAATAATGTTATCCAATATATAACAGTGTTTCCTTACGCTTCAAGTGCCTGAATCTGACGAGCAGTGTGGCGATGGTACCGCTTCTTCCTCTGAGGATCAGATGCATCTAGGTCCTCACCTGATCCACTGCCTCTAGTGTCAGATTCCATTTTAAATGATCACCACCAGCTGCTCTTCTTTAGTTGTTGAGAAACCTGTTTTCCTCACATCATGATACCAATAAGAGCAGATCAAATCAATAAGAAAAGCATAAAAGAAAAATGAAAGGAAGGTTTTTGGTTCCCCCGTCAAATAAAAAGAGACAAGCAAAAAGTTACAAAAATAAAGGAAAAGAATTTTCTTTTTTTTTTTTTTTTGAGTTTCAGTTTCTCTCTCCATCCCATCCCCTTCCTAAGTTGGTTACGTGCACTGAAGAGATTATGCTTCATCTCTTATAACAAGCTTGCTAGTGAGAATCCTTATGCCAAATATTTTGATCTTCATACAAGTTTAATAACATACAGTGATAACCACGATTGGAACTTTCATGAACTCCCCAATGTGCCCAAAAGGAAAACATATTTACTCCTTTAGATACAATTTAGCTGAAAGAAAATTTCCTTCTTTAACTAGCAAGGGTTTGTAGGTGATAAATGAGATGTTTATGCAAACTATAAACTTGAAAGAAGAATTATAATTGATGAGGCAGAATGTTACAATCTGCCGTGGTCAGTGTCCATGAGAAATTACTTCATTTGATGCATCAATACATACCTTGTCAATTGCCATACCTACTTTGAGTTTCACACATCAATTAAAAAAATTATGTAAATGGTACTAGGAATTACATGATTCTGGCCCCATACTGGTGATGCTATATACAAGGAATAAACATGACAGAACAAAGGGTGACTAATCTATAATGTTCTTCTGTCCTTTCTAGATTAAAGGGGTAATATTTGAAGAAACAGAAATTTGTGGGATTAAACTCTGCTTTTGTAAATGCAATGTTTTAAAAACCGACCCATAGGCTGACCCATTTTTGCCTCCAGGTTGAACGGGTCAAACCATGACACATCAGCATATGTATATAACATATATAAATACCTATATAGGAATATATAGGTATAAACATGTATTATATAAATAAAATAATGTACAATTATATTCTTTTTTTTTTTTTTGAAGAATCAAAATAAAAATTTTCATTAAAGAAAAAATGATTCATACAATCCAAGGGGCGTCAAGATAACACCCAACACAGCCTTAACACATACAACCAACACTACAAGAAACAAGGAACTGATCAAGATTACAAGTCTGTAACTCAAGAAAATTCCAAAAGTTATCTCCCAATTCTGCTCTGATAGTCTGATGAAATTCTGGATGCACCAGAGTCCAATCGGACACCAAATTTTCAACCATAACTATCAACCTTCCAATATTCTTCTATTTATTCTCAAATAGTCTCCTGTTTCTCTCATTCCAGATAACCCAGCAGACTGCAAAAGGGATGCAACTCCACACAATCCTTGCTTTCTTACAACCATTAAATCTTGGCCAGGAAGAGAACAGCTCTTCTGTAGTAAGGCTGAAACACTCTTGTTCCAGAAAGAAAGGAATTAAATCTCCACATAAATTTGTCAATCCTGCAAGAGCAGAACAAGTGGTAGACTGTCTTCTCATCCATACCACAAAGATAGCAGAAGCCTGCCATGCAAAAACCTCTACTCTTCAGGTGGTCTGAAGTTAAAATGCTATCCAAGGACACTAACCAAACGAAAGCTTCCACTCTAAGGGGGATAGGGTTCCCCCACACTCCCTCCACTTGATCAGCTACCAGCTGCTCCTTTATCAGTGCCATGTAGAAAGATATCACAGTGAATCTCTTTTTGCACTCTTTACACCACAATCCCTCCCTTGAAGAGATAGAAATATTAGTTGTTGCAGATTTTCTAACAGCAGTAGACATTCTTCAATTTCCTTGGAATCTTTAGAATGACAAATAGTATGTTGGTAAGCTTGAGAGGACACTTTTAATAAGTGTTATTCTGTCCCCCTAAAAACAGGTATTTTGCTTTCCACTTCTCCAGTTTTTTTTCCACCCTTTCTAGCACTGGCCTCCACACCCCTACTTTAAAAATCTTGGACCCCACCAGGAGACCCAAATATAGGAAAGGTAATTTCCCTATCTGACATTCAAAAACTGCAGCACACTGTTCCAACACCTCTCTTCCTATTTCACCCACTCCGATTAATAGACTCTTGGACAGATTAACTTTCAGACCAGTTAACATCTCAAAGTTAGCCAGTAATGCCCTTAAACTCAGCACTTGATCCACTAAAGCATCGAAAAAAAAAAAAAAGAGGATGCCATCCGCATACTGAAGATGAGAAATGTAGGGGCCCTCCAAACCCACTCTAAAACCTTCAACCCAGCCCAGTTGAGAACCCTTCACCATAAGTGGATTCAACACCTCCATAACCAGAACAAATAACAAAGGAAAAATTGGATCTCCCTGCAGCAAACCTCTGGATGCTTGAAAGAATTCTGAAGAGACTCCATTGGGAAGTAGAAAAAAGAAAACTCAAGAGACACAAGAATACATCCAGCTTCTCCATTTTTCCCCAAAGCCCATCAAGCGCTATCTCCTCTAAGAACCCCATTTCACATGATCGTATGCCTTCACAATGTCAACCTTGCAAAGCCCATCAAGTGCTATCCCAGCCTCCCACTTCTCAGTTAGAATCAATACACTCACTAGCCACCAATACCCCATCCAAAATTTGCCTACCTTCCCCATAAACCATCTGGGTTTCTCCTACCACCCCATGCAAAACTGCTTTCAGCCTCCTTGATAAAACCTTGGCCAGAAGCTTACAAGGACTACTTATTAAACTAATTGGTCTGAAGTCTTTAACATTCACTGCCCATCCTTCTTTTGAATCAAAGAACAAAAGTGGCATTCAATCTTTTCTCCATATCTTTTGTGTCACAGAACTCATTGATCATTTGAACAAAACCTTCCTCAAAGAAGCCCCAACCAGCCTTAATGGAGCTAAAATTAAATCAACCAGGCCCTGGGGCTTTGTCCCCTTCAATCCTTTTCAAAGCATCTCTGATCTCCTCAACCTCCACCTTCCTTTCCAGTCAACTTGCTGAATTATCACTTAATGTCCTAGGCTCCAAACTCCCTGAGGTCACCCACCTCCAACCCCTTTCCAAAAACAGATTCTTGTAAAAGTCCACCTTTTTCTGTATCTCCTCCCATGAATCCGTCAAATCCTCTCCTACCTGAATTCTTGAAATGAGATTTCTCCTTTTCCTTACGCTTGCAAAAGCCCGAAAATATGCTGTGTTCCTGTATCCCTCCCTCAACCAGATTGCCCTTGATTTCTGCCTCCAACTCACTTCCTCCCTTGATATTAACCTCTCCAACTCCCTTTCTAGGGTTTCCTTCTCTAAGAGAGCCTCTCTCAAGAACTGCCCATCTTCTTCCAGCCTATCCAGCCTTGCTAACTTCTCCAAAACTTCTTTCTTCCTCAATTCTGATCTGCCAAACACCTCCATTCTTCTACCCCTCAGTTCTTCTTTCAAGAACTGAAACTTTCTCAATATTCTAAGAGCTGCTGAACCTTCCACCTCTCTTCAGCCCACTCCAAAAAATTTGGTTCTTGTAACCAGACATTTTCAAACTTGAAAGGTCTCACTCCATTCGCAGCTACAAACTTTCTTAAAATTATTGGTTTATGGTCTGACATCCTTAGTGCCAAAGCTTCCTGAACCACCTCCCTCACGTACTCCACCCAATCACCTAAAAGCATAAAAACCTGTCCAACCTTCTAAGGATTGCTGGAAACTGACCATTCAACCAGGAAAATCTTCCACCACTTAAAGGTGGATCAATAAGTCCACCTCCCTCGATGAAATCCCCAAATCTCCTCATCTCCAAAAGTGACCCTTCTGTTCCTCCCTCCTTTCATCTCACTCCTCCTTACTACATTAAAGTCCCCCAACACCCAAGGACCATTCCACAACCCCCTCAGCTCCTCCAACTCTTTTTTTTTTGGTTAATCAGCAATAACTTTTTCCCTTTCCCCTTTGCCCCCTTTTTTTCCCCAAAGTGCTGGTTGCGGGATTTGATTCCGCGTCAATGCTGGGACAACCCAGCTAACACACCAACGAGCCAGCCCTCGACTGGTTCAGCTCCTCCAACTCTTCCCAAAATGCATCCCTTTCTCCAATAGTGACCCTTCTGTCCCTCCCTCCTTTCATCTCACTCCTCCTTACTACATTAAAGTCCCTTAACACCCAAGGACCATTCCACAACCCCCTCAACTCCTCCAACTCTTTTTTTTGGTTCATCAGCAATAACTTTTTCCCTTTCCCCTTTACCCCTTTTCTCCCCAAAGTGCTGGTTGCGGGATTTGATTCTGCGTCAATGCTGGGACAACCCAGCTAACACAACAACGAGCCAGCCCTCGATTGGTTCAGCTCCTCCAACTCTTCCCAAAATGCATCCCTTTCTCCCTCTGAATTTGGTCCGTAGACATTTGTTATACCCCAGTACCACCATCCATTCACCTCTTTCAGATAAATAGACATTTAGAACTTTCCCACCTTCTTCCCCACTTTTCTGAAGGCCCCTGGATCCAAAAGCATGAGTAAACCCCCTGACAGACCCACTGCATTCAGCTCCAGCCACTTCCCGCTGCTCCTTCCCAAACCTCCTGCTTGAAACCCAAATTAAAAGATTCAAATTGTCTCCTGAAGCAGCATAACTGCAGGACAGTGACTCCTAATTAAATTTCTCGCCACCGCCTTCCTTTCCTTCTCTCTCAAACCCCTTACATTCCAACTAATCACACTCATCCTTCTTTTCCTGCTATATACAACGAAAATGGAAATTTTCCTTCAGTCCTTACCCATTTCCTCTCTCCCCCTTCTTCATCCCACTCCTTATCCTTCCCAATTTTTTCTTCTTTTTTTTTTTATTTTCTCCTCCCTCCTAAACTTCTCAAAGTGCTCAAAGGCCTTCCTTGCAAATTCTTCCCCTCCCCAGAAAAGCAAACCCAAGGATTTGCTGACCGATACCTCCCTCTCTACCAAGCTGTCGATTTCCACTTCTCCGTTTTGGATCAAATCCAAAACCTGAACTATCTCCCCTCTTTCCTCCCCCTTCTCCTGCCCTTCCCCTCTCTTCCCCTCCGAGCACCCTTCCCGCCCTCTCTCCTCACCTCCTTTCCTTCTTCCACACCCTGTGTAGTTTCTAGAAATCTTTTCTTTCTGTTATATATCCTCTCCTTCCTCTTGCCCCCTTCTAACTCAACAAAAGATCTTTTTTTTCTCATCCCCAAAAAACTCTAATTCTTCCCAAATCCCCTTTCCCACCTCCATTTGGAGTTCACCACTCCCCTACTTTGAAGTGATCCACAAAGCATTAGGAAATCATCTCTTGATCATTTATCTCTTTGCAAATAGTTTCCAATTTAGCCACAAAATTCTTTCTGTTCCTTCAATTAGCAACCGCATGAAAGAATTTTGTATTGCCATCTCCCTCCTTGATCCACTTGCCTCTTTATTTCTGTCTCCAACAAATCTCTTCCCTTGACAAAATTTCTTTCAATTCCTTCTTCAAAGACCATCTCAAGTTTCTATCCTCACTCACTTAGGGAATCCTAGTATTCCTTATCATCCAATTGCTCTATTTAGGAGGTAACACTTAACTTTCTCTCCTCAATTCTGCCAAAATGTTCTTTGTTCCATTCCTTGATTTTACCTTTAAGCCTTTGTATTATTTTATAAAATCTTTCTCCTTTCTAATGAACTCCTCTTAGCTCTTCATTCCACCACTCTTCCACTCTATGGATGAAATCCAAGTGTGTAAGCCACATGTTTTCAAACCTAAAAGGGATGGGGCCACTCAAGAAGTCCTCTGTAACAATTCTAATTGGACAATGATCAGAAGTAACTCTAGCTAAGGCTCCCATCAACCCTACCCAATGTTCTTCCCTATCAATACTGAAGATAAACCTGTCCAACTTTGACCATGTAGGAGAACTTTGCATGATAAACCAAGTAAACACAATCTATTGGATAGGAACCTCTTTTAACTCACACAACTCAATAAACTCATTAAACTTCTAGTAGAGGTCACTTGGTTAAGGTTGTTTGTTTCATTTGTAAATCTAATCACATTAAAATCATCGCCTAAACACCAAGGGTCATCCCACAAACCTCTAATATCAAAGAGCTCCTCCCACAATTCACTTCTCTCTATATATCTATTAGGGAGATAGACATTCGACAGAACCCAAGTAAAGCCATCTCCCGCATTCTTAAATTTCAAAGAGACCAAAAATTGACCTACTAATTCTTCCAATGATTCTACCACCTCACACCTCTGCATAACGACCACACCTCTCGACCCCCCCCCCCCCCAAGGGTACAAACAACCTGTCTAGACCTCCAAACACTTCACACCCACCTTCTATCTACTTCCACTACTCTCATTTCCAACAACATGACTATGTCTAGGTTTTCCTTTCTAAGCAAGTCATTTATTACCCTCCTCTTCCTGCCACTACCCAATCTTCTAACATTCCAACTGATTATCTTCATAGCAACTCATAAAACCAACCCCACACCAATGTGACCACTTACTTTGACCCCTTTCTCCTCTCCCCCCTAGCACTAAACTCTAGGTCACATGCCACATCATATTTCAACCTCTCAACCTTTGTCATATTTTCTTCCTTTGAGAATCCTTTTCCCCTTTCTTTTTGGAATAAACTTTGATATTTCTCGATTCCCTTAGCTTCAGGCCCATCGCTCTTGTACGTCCTACCATAGGATCTCCCCCATTCTCCCTCCTCTCACCTATGGTGTTTCTCACATCTTGCCATCCTTCTTGTTTTTCCAAGCCTACTCCGTCAACTACAGCCACTTCTTCCTTACAAGCTCCTCAAAAGATTCACATACTAATCCCCAAATCCTCTCTTCTTGCTCCCAACATACACCCTCGACCGCCCTTTCCTCCGAACTCCCCTCCTCATCCTCCTTCTGCCCCTCTTGATTGGTTACAAGTAAGGCTTGGAGCTAATAAATATCAATTACAGGCACAAGAGAAACATCAATACACAAAAACTTAATGACATTCATACTTGGAGATAAAGGTTCAGATGGAGCATTGAGAATAGGACCATTTGAATCAGAACTCAACCCTAAAAAGCCATAATCTGTTGGATTGAGAATAGGTTTAGTCAAAGAAGGGGGAGCTAGCAGACTCTGAGTAGAAGATGAGCCCCTTTCTGAGGCATCTCCGTTCTGCTTCAAAGGTAGGGAAAGGTAGGGAAGAGGAGCTAGCTAGATACCACCAACGAACCCCTATCTCTTAGTTGGTTCCCTTATGTTGTGTTTGGTTTTAAGGAAAAGGTAGGGAAACCAATACAATTGTTGTATAGGTTTCCCTACCTTTTCCTTCAAACTAAAGACAAGGCTCAATTTGCACTATACACATTTCCATTTGTACTCTCTCTAAGGTTTTAAATTTCACAACGTATCAGTCTGTATCGACCAATGCACAGACTGATACGGGCCTATTTCAAGTCGTTTCAGATCTATACCGGACGATACAGTTCCAATACGAACCGATACTATGTATGTATCAATTGATACATGTGTATTAGATTGTTTATATTATTTAATGTCATTCTTCTCTCTCCAATAACTCATATAATTACCCCCTATAACCTCTATAATTATTCCTTCTCTCTCTAATAACTCCAATAATTACTCCCACTCTTTCAATAACTCCTATATTTGATGCTAATTTAATATATTTAATCAATATTCAAATTCGAATTTGAATTTAAAGAATGCCATTAAATAGACCTTAAAGTCTTAAACTAGCTATAGAAACTACAAATAGGAGGATTTGAACCCTAGTTAATAGTATGCAACAAGCACAAATCCACCATTAAGCCATGCTATACTTGCTTGTCATAAATATATGCACTTTTATTCTTAAGCATCTTTTTTATTCTTAAGGGATTTTTTGGCAATAAATACTAAAACTGATTCTTAAAATTTATATAATAATAAATATTAACACAAATTATATTGATTTATGACAATTAAGATATACAAATATAAATTTTAGTTCTTCCATTATTCTTCAATGGTTACCAATTGTGTCCCGATATCTCACAATTGATATAAACCCTTGAAGCATGGTTTTTATGTTTAAATAACTCATTTATAATTATATAAAAGTTATACTGTTGTTATTAATGTATATTTTTAAGATTTATTTGAATTTATTAGTTTATCCATGCATGTCTTGATTTTTCATCCATATCCATGCATATCTACAATGTATCCCAATATGTCTCTTAATATTACCTTACCGATAGGACTTGCGTTTTCAATACTTTGAGCCATGACACTTTCCAAACTGAGCCTAAAGGATTTCAGTTTTCTTTTCTCCCTGTCAATCCCCAAGTAAGCTAGATACCGATGGAGTTTTCAATTGATTGCAAATTTGCAATGCATTAAATCAAAGACGCCACTTCTATTTATAACAATTTATTATAATGTAGTAAAAACAAATTTGGACAGTTTTTATCCTTTGTATTATGAAGAACAAACAAAAGGTGTCCCACTTTTATTTATAATATTTTTGTTATAAAAACTAGCTTAAAAGGTAAGAGCATGTGAGATGCATTCCTCCTATATATAGCACAACAAAGGCATATATTCAGAAACCTCTATACTGGAGGCATAGGCATCACAGCATCCATATGCTTCTATTATGTGCCTCGAGGCATTTTCCTAGCGCCTAGCCTTGAAGCACACCACCAGCACCTTTTTAAATACTGATTTTACCCTAATAGATTACTTTTATCTATCAAGAGCTAATGCTAATATTGCCTTCAACGTTTTTCTAGATAACAAGTATATGATGCATGAAACATCTAATGAATTGAAATCAATAATGAAATACTGAAATTTAATAACATGTTATGATTAAGTACTTTAGGAAGAAAATAAGTTAAAATTGCATTTTTTTATAATACAATTGCATTCATGTGCTAACCAATCTTATGGCTGTTAGAATGTTTTATTATTATCTTATTTTACAGGATGGTGTTCCATTAGTTAGAAAAATACATGTTTTAAGGTGAATAGGAAATAGGGATTACCTTTTCCAAAGCTTCAATTTGTCTTGTGCAGGGTTATCTGCATTGAGGGTTTTTGTAATTTAGTTATTCTGTAAGCTACTTGGCTATGTGCCTTCCAATATATCTTTCTCTTAGACCTTTCCCATTGAATGCCATTTACGCCTAGTTTATTTACATGATCAATATAAATTGTATATTTTGGGGCTTGAACGTAAAAGTTAAAACTAGTAACAAAATGCGCTTTACAGGATTGTTGTGTAGGATTAGGAACTTAGTAACACGTCTTCATGCATTCGTTGTTTAGGGCCTTTAGGCCTACGCCTCGCCTCTTCAAGGCCCAGTTATCCGGCCTCAGCTTTAGCCGTTTTGGAACCTGGCTTGTCCTGCCCTCCTCCAGGCTCCAGGCTCCAGGTGATTCTTTTTTTCTTTTTGGGAGACTCCTTTTGGGGATGTACATGAATCCATCATCAGGCTTCCTTAAACCCCGGTTTCCATAAACAATAAAAATGGAGAAGAAGGCGGCTTTTCACGTGTGGTGTGTTTTGGCTTTCGAGTCTCTTCATTGACTCTGAAGTCTGAAACCCAATATAAAAAATGAAATAGAGAGAACAAGCAGGTAGGTGGGCGTGGGTCATCTCGCGAGACATGAAGATTGTAGACATGGGTTTTGATTTTCTTACACCAAAAGCAAAAGCTGAAGCAATCCTTGTCGGTTAGTGGGAGAGAGAGAGAGAGAGAGAGAGAGAGAGAGAGAGAGAGATGCCAAGGCACGGATGACTAGAACTACAGCACTACAAAAAAAAAAAAAGGAAAAATCGGATACCTGTCACCGACGGCAGGGGGGAAGTCGGTGGCGACAGTTAGGCATTGTACTGCGACCGTCGTCAGCGGAGGAAGTGGCTACAGATGGAGGCGGTGCGAGCCCAGCAGCAGCACCACCACCACCGCTGGGGTTGCTGCTACTGCTACTACCGAGTGCGAGTGGCGCTGGGAATGGAGAAAGAGAAGCAGCAGAGTGAAGTTTTGAAAATGGTTTTCAACGCCCGTACAATCCATCCCTCCACCCCTCTTAACTCGTCCTTATGCCGTCGGACGGGGGTTTGGTGAAATCTGTCGGATCGCATTCAATGTACTCTCCCCCTAGTTTCCTTCCTCGTTCACACACGCACACTCTCTAAAATCCTCTCTCTCTCTCTCTCTTCTCGAGGCTTTTAAACCTCTCTGTGGGTCCTACACTGGAATTCTGGAACCGTCTGATCGGTTCGTGCACGGTTGGGATCTTCCCATGTCAGCAGCATCTACCTCGACTACTACTACAGCCTACTAAAAGGAGACGAGAGACGGAGAGATCCACCGCCGGCCGGACACTCCCATGGTCGCCGCTCCACCTCGTGGACCGTGGTCGGTCAGTCCGTCCGTATGGAAGGAAAGGCGCTGACATTCGTCGCTCACAATGTGCTGACGTAGACACGTGTCAGGAGAAGTTTCGGAACGCGATCAACTCTTGTCTGACTACGATGTGGTATGGGGGCATGGGAAGAAATGAGTCCGGATATTCTGGACCACCCATTGACCACGGAAAGAAGCGTGCGTGCGTGGATGAACGATTAGGGCACGACTTGACCAGAGACCAGAAAGTAATTGGTCTGATCCATCGTTGTCGTACGTAGCAGATGTGAATTCTGTATATACAACTAACTACTAGATTATTATTGGGATAATGAAGGTTACCAATAATTCAACTAAAAGCCAAAATTCTTCCAACCGTCTCCTCCGTTTCGTTTCATGTTTCACACTTTCACTCAGCGGGTAGGTTTGTGTGGACCCAAGAAACATACCTATAGTTTTATTATAATGCATTTCTACTGTATCATTTTTCACCAATAGTCTGCAATTCTCGATCATGATACTCAAGTAATTCTTTTGATCAGTCCAGCTTAAAATTCTTTTGCCCCACCTTACAGATTGATGAATCGTGACCGTGGATTGATGTCAAAATTCATGCCGTTTATTATTAAAATTGTAATTCAGAGTATTTTTTTTCTATTATACCTGAAAAATTTTTGGTATTATTATTATATATATATATATGTATATATTAAAACAAGGAAGTCTATATTTTTTTTTAAACAACCATGCATTTTCCCAAATTATTTCTTAAATTATCTCTAATTCCTATTTATCCTCTCTCCAACTTTTTATCTATATCTATACAAAGAAATTTTGGCTTAAAAATTTTAAGAATTATATAAATATTCTAACAAAAATATATAATAACTTTAAAATATTTATAAAAAACATAAAAAAATAATTTTATATTTTTACAAAATATATCACGAAATTATGTACTAACAATTTCAATTCTATTTTTCTGGATTATCAATTTAAATGTTATTAAAATAACAAAATATTATAAATATAAATAATTATATAACAAAATATTTAGTAATATGTAATAGCTTTAAATAAATAAAATTCAAATAACAAAAAAATAAATATTTTACATATTATTTAAACATTTAAATAACTAAATATTTAACATAACTAGATTTTAAATAGTTAAAATAACGAAATTATGTAATAAATTTAAAAAAATTCTTAGAAGTAGAAAAAAAATATAACTTAATATTGAAATTAATAATAATTTAATATCATACAAAATTAATAATGAAATTATGTAATAATAGTATAAATTATAATTTTATGGATTATTAAATTAAATAATTAATCAATATTTTACACATTATTTAAGTATTTAAATAACAAAATATTTAACATAGCTAGATTTTAAATTAGTTAAAATAAAAACTTTTTTAATAAATTTACAAAAATCTGAAAAGTAGAAAAATAATTATAACATAATATTGAAATTAATAATAATTTAATATTTTTACATAATATTGTAAATAACTAATTTCACTTATATCAATTAATAATTTGAGAAAATAACTTTCATAAAAATTAATATTTATTAATAATAATTTTAAACTCTTAATATATATATTATATAATTATACATACCAATATTAATATTTATTGTATTTTAGTATTTATTTATTGTTTTTTGTGATAAATGTATTTTCAATAATTATGTACAAATTTATTTTTTTTTTGTTATTTAACAGAAAACGTTCAATAATTATTGAAGATTAAACTACTATTATTGAATTTTTTTAATTTTGTTTATTGCACTTATTGTATTTATTGTATTTTTGCTATAACTTATTCATTAATATTTATTAGAGGTTAAACTAGTATTTGAGATTATACTATTTATTGACTAATTTAATATATTTTTAGTACTTAATTGTATTTTTGTAATTATTGTATTTTTTTCATTATCAATATATTTTCAATAATTTTGTATTTTCGCTATAAATTTTTAATAATTATTGGAGATTAAATTATTACTATGTATCAAAGATGAGACTATTAATTTATTTGAAATTATGAGTGTTCATGAGTTGGTTCGGTTCGGTTGTAAACTGTTTGGTCATCCAAATTGACCTCGTCAGGTTGGGGAGTTGGTCAGCTGAAACCAACTGACCATTTGTGAAAACCAACCCACTCAAGTTGTATCGGTTTCGGTCGATTTTTTGGTTTGGTCAATCGGTTCAAAATATTTAAACTTAAAAATTAAATTTAAATTTTAAAATTTACTGTGCAATTGTTAAAAGATAAATTTAAAAATTAAATTTATGATATAAAACATTTTAGACTAAGAAACATGGGAAATTTCCCACTTTTCCATATTAAAAATTATATTTAAAATATAAAATATTAATATATATCAATGGTCAGGTCATACAATTTTGTTCGATTTACAAATAGCCAAAGCAAAATTGATCCAACTTAGTTAAGTTGGGAAATTTTTTAACCAAAGCCAACCTAAAATACTAGAATACTGACCAACTCGGATCGAGTTGATCAGGTTGGACAGTTTCATCTATTTAATGAATAAACCTAACTAAAATTAATTATTGTTATTTTTTATTATACAACATTTATTAAAAGTAGTATATAAAATATGAATAATTATTAATTATTTAAAAAGTTGAAAATATAAAACAATTGTATACTCTTATGTGTTTCTATTAGGGTCATTTACTAGAACACACCTTATAGTTTTACATATTTACTTAAACCTACCTTATAGTTTTCATTTTACTAAAATATCCCATATATTTTACAATTTATTTACTTAATCAACATTTTATTAAGGAGTGTTTGTTTTTCCATTAGGCCCATGAATTTCTATTTCAAAAATACCCTTAACACTTTTTTTGTACAGAAAACAAAATTGACCAAATATTGAACTTATTTAAATGAACATTAAGGTCGACATTGTCATTTTCCATTGTCATCTAATGGAAGATTGATTAAATCCATTGCAAATTATAAGTGGTGTTTTAGTAAAATACAAACTATAAGGTAGATTTTAGTAAATCCATGTAACTATAGGGGGTGTTTTAGTAAATGACCCTTTCTATTATTTAACTTTCTCTTAAGAAATCCCGTGGACCGCACAGGACTCCGCTAGTATGAAGTATGAACCAGCCGAGACTCATGCGATTTAGGGGATTTGTTAGGAAAGTGAAACAGAAACCAATAACTATAAGCCTATATAACTACTATGAGAAATGCAATATTACTTAAAATAATTGATTTTTTATTTTATTAATTTATTATATATAAATAATTTAACAATTTATTAATTTGTATTAATTATATTAATAATTTTTAATAAAAATAGAAATTATTGTTAATTAATTGATAAAATAATTATTTTTCATATTATTTATTATGTTCTATTTTATTTATTTTACTTTATTGATAATTAGATGTTACAAAATTTTTAAATATTATTTAAATATTTAAAATACTTAAATATTAGTAAACATATAAAAGGTTGTAGTAATAATCAAATTAATCTAAGCCCAAGCTCTAGGTTTAAGACTTTGGATTGGGCTTTGATTGATCCTCAACTTGACCCAATCCCCCAAGTTGCACTCTTAAGAACAAGCCAAGTATAATTCATGCATGCATTATTTTTGGGTTTTTAACTATTTTTAGATAAAAATTATTAATATTGAAGATTAAGGAGCTATGGGAGATGAGCAACCCCCATTATGTAGCATAATGAACCAAAAAAATAATATATCTCAAGCCAAATTTTGATAATTAATAGTTCTTAAGGTTGTCTGGCATAGCCTAAGCGACACCCCAAGTGTAATAATATTTGTATAGGCCTAAGACAAGGACAACTTGCTCGTGTTAATTATAAAACTATGATTTTTATTTAATTCATTCTATTATATATAATTCTATCTATATATTAATATAAAATTTGTTATCTAAAATCCCATGTCAAGCTTAGGGGTTGCTTAGCTTGGGCCCTACCCACTAGGATTGTCAGTGGACTCTGAAAGTTTAATACCTAATTCAACTTTGAATCCTATTGTCCTAGATTTGGATGCTAGAACTTCCATCTAACTAATAACTGGAACAAATGTGGGTTTAACTCCATCAAATCCAAGTCCATAAAAAATTATAATTCTATGTATAGTTATATATATATATAGTATAATTATATAAAGTTTACAATTGATAAATTTAATATTTATATTTATATATTTATTACACATATATACTTTAAAAATAATTAGTTTTTTTATTTTTAAATGTTTTGGTCATTTTAAACACAATAAGATGGTTGTGGATTAAATCTAAATCCGATCCAAATCCAACATAATAATCAGATGTAGATGTGGATCTAGAGATTTCATATGCAAATGTGAATGTGGATGCAACTCGAACCAATTTGAATTCGATTCGTTTATTGCCTTGTTTTCATTATGTGTGGGCTTAGTGCACGAGCTAAACCTACTCAAAAAATAATAATAATAATTGCTTGAGCCTAGAAATTTGTAGGTCTAGTGCAATTGGAATAAATTATAAATGATCATCCCTAAGTGGAAGGAGTCTTATGACATTTTTAATTGGATCGTTATTAATATTATTATTTTAATTAATTTTTATATTGAATGCAAATGGTATAATTTTAATAAATTTTTATTATCCTATTAATATTAATTATTATTAAATAGAATACAAATGTATTTTAATTTTTAATTTAGGAACTACTAATTTTTCTTAATTTCTTAAATTTTAATAGTTACTAAATAAAAACTTGGTAAAATTTAATATTTTTAATAACTTTAGTGATTTTTTTATTAATTTTAATTAGTAAGTTTCAAATTATAATTTTCTAACATTAACCAATTCAATAGAATTGGAATATGAAACAAATAGATGGAGTTTGGATGAGAATAAAATTATCTTTTTGGAATACAATATGCTAATAATGGAAGAGGCATATAGAAATAATATTCTAAAATAGGTTAATGATGAAAGGGGTGGGACCAATGTCTTAGAACTCTCTCTCTCTCTCTCTCTCTCTCTCTCACACACACACACACACACATAAACACACATTGTTTATAGGTGATTTAACTATTTATGATATTTTTATTAACTAATTTTTAAACTATTATTTGTTTATGGGCTAGGCTAGGCCCATATCAACCTTTAATTTTGTGAACCTGATGCAAACTCGGGCTTGGGTTGGATGGAAATGATCACCTCTAAGAAAATTGCTTTTGGTTTATTAGATTATTTAGGATAGGAAAGAGAATAAAATAAAAAAGGAAAAAGGAAAAAAGAGTAAATGAATTTTAAGCAATTTAATGAAGTAATTGAGAGGAAAGAGAATTAGTGGAGTGAGCTATTAAGAGAGAGAGAGAGAGAGAGAGAAAGAGAGTTAATGAGGAAAAATGAAAGTCTTAAAGACTTAAAAGTTGATTAACTAATTGAGTTATAGTGTGCACCAGTTGTCTCATCCCTTCTATTGGCGATGCGCTCTTGGCCTTAATTGGTTGGGTCATGCCTCCTATGTTGAAGAAGTTAGAATGCTCAAAACAAGCCTATGGTGCATTAGCATGGGATAACTGTTAAACAGTTTATGCCCTTAGCACCAATCAGATTGATGTATACAAACTTTTATATATGAATAAAATAAGTACATTATTGTTTTATGTTCAGATTGGTGTGTTTTTGTGAGTTACTCCTTAAATTGAACACTTATGTGACTTTTGTTAGTTTAGAATGTTTTCAGCAATTAGATAGACTTGAGGAGTTTATCCTGACAAGAATGACATTGATAAGCTGTCAAATTGGTAGAGCAGCTTGTCTCGGCTACTAGAGCTAAACCCCAAGTATAGTCAATGAGTGTTTGGAAGAAATGTTGAACCTAGATCAATTTTTAATTATGCCCTAGACCTTGGAGACAAATGGGTAAAATTGAAAAGTTATACTTAATAGTAGACTTGATTATAATACTGCACTAGGTCTTGGGCTGAGTTGCTTTTGATATACCAACTAGTGAGATCCATCAAGAGTCAAATACTTTGACATGTTGAAACAGTTTAAGAAATTAATTGAGTGGGTAATCATAGTGATAAATCATTCCCATTGTCAAACAAAGCAAATATCAGAGTTTACACTCTCTTATGGAAACTTGAAATTGTCAATAATGGATTTCAATAGTATTTAAAAATTAGAATGATATTTTTCTGAAAAATATTTGCAAAATGTTTTAATCTTTGGATCTATTTAAGTAGAGGGTGTGACATTGTATTTTACAGTTAGGGAAGAGGTTCTTCCCTATGAGCAGTGTTTTGATTATTAAGGGCTGAGAGATTAAGGGCAAGAGACCATTAGAGGGCTAATAATTTAATGGACTTTATTTTGCATTAGTCCATTATCCATGGGTTTTATAAAGTGGTTGAACACAAAGATCACTTATACTTGAGTGTTGGGCCTGACTTGTTTGGTTTAGGGGTTCACTACCCTTATATGATGAATTTGGTCTATCTCTTTCCAGACATGGGTTGAAGCCATATGGAGTTGTATGAGACCTTTGTGAGTCACATGCCACACAATAATTAGGCCTAAGTGGCCATGCAAAGCCTAGTTAAGAGGTCATATGACAACTTATATTGTCATGTAACATGGATCGAATTTGGGTTTAGAAATTGATATGGAGAACTCATTCTCTTAAAAAGATAATGTAATAATCCAAATATGATTTGGATTAACTTCCAATAGAATTAGAAGAATGTTCTATATAAGGGGACTAGAGGGAGGGGGTGAATAATCCATTCTCTCCATTCTAAGAATGGCAATGGGGCGAGGCGGGGACGGGGAGCCTCTCCCCACCCTCGTCCCCATGAAAATTTCCATCCTCATCCCCGTCCTTGCTAACGGGGTAAAGATTATCCCCATCCCCACGGGAACCCCCACTCGTGATTTTTATAATATCAACCATTTTATTTTTTGTTTTTTATTTTATTTAAAAAATAAAATAATTAAAATTTACAATCCTATTAAAAGAAGATTCAAACATATTCAACCATATTTTTAAAAATATTAATATATAGATGTATGTGTACATATATACATATATAAACATATGCATACATATATACATATATATTAGCGGGCATTCCACAGAGCGGGGATCGGGTCCCTACAGGGCGGGGATTACTTCCCCATCCCCGCTAATGGGGATGAAAATTTCTCCATCCTTGTCCCTATGGGGGGAAAATCATCCCCATCCCCGCCCCATTTGGGGCAGATCCCCACGGGGATCAAGGAAATGGGGAAATTGCCATCCCTACTTCACGCTCTTGCTCTCTTTCTCTTCTCCCTTTGCACCCCAAAACCCTAGTTTGAACCAACCATAGTGAAGGCTGATTCTCACTAGTCATGCATTGTGTTTTTAGAGAAAAACATTAGATATCTTCAGGTTCGCATAGCTACATCAATTCTAAGAGAATTGGAGCTCAATTTTGTAAAATTAGTGTTGTTGAATCATCTTCACACATACAAGTGTGCCATCTTTAATTGGAGGTCAATTTAGGTTTGATATTGGGCGTGAACTATCACTTTGAGAATTATATATTGTAGACTCCATATCAGGTATGATTAGATATAAATTAAAGTTTCAAATTTAGTTCAAATTTGGTGCAAGATCAACATAGAAATTCATATTTCAAAATATCGAAAAACTTATTCATGGATTGGGCTGAAATTTCTTTTTAAATTTCGGCTAGCAATCATAACTGGTTCGACCATGTTTAATCAAGTTCTCAGTCATTCCAATGACATGAGATAGGATTGATCATGGTTTCCATTCTATTTGACAAAAAAAATTCCTTTCTCGATTCCATTTCTTTTGTTGTTTGATGAATTAATTTGATTTTTTTTTTATGATGAATCCTTTGTGTTGCATTACTCTAGTTTCAATCGGTCGATCCAAAGTAACATTGGGGAAGCAAAATATGCATTCAACATTTCAGCTACGACAACTCTATTAGAACTATTGGATTTGGTTTGACCAAGTGGAGCTTTTCAACTCAACTTCTAAAATGGCCACTTTCATCAAAACATTTCTCAAAAGTTCAAAGACAAAATAGCAAATCTTCCCATTTTATCTCTATTGAAACCCTTAAAACCCATAAATTCACTATCGTTGATAGTTTTTCATCTTCCATGCTTTTTTAACTTCTCAGTTGCAAGTAAAATGAAATATATCAATACGTAAGATCCTCCGTAAAGTATCCCATGGGCTTTTTCTATAGAAAAGTTTTTGTCCCAGTCAAAACACAAAGGAGGTTTATATGATTGTAAAAAAAAACAAACCTAGGAGACGTTCTTATACTTAAACCTTTTTAATTTATTTCTTTGATCGAAATCGAATCCTTGCTTTGATCACATGACGCTAATTGTAGATAAGTGATGGAACAAAGAGCCCTTGATTGAAAATTATTTTTGAACATTATTGATTTTGTGTTGATTATATTGATATTTAGGACATGTTCTATTCCTCTTAACTCTTATCTATTAAGAAGAATCTTTTAACTTTTAGAGAAAAATGATTATTCATTTCTTCTTATTTCTTAAAGTGCAGTCATACAATTTTTTATTTTCCAATGATAACCCCAAAAAAACAAACAAAAACTCTCGTATATAAAACCAAAATAGATATTTAATAATTTTTAGAATTTAAAACAACATTCTTTACATTCAGAGTTTTAAGGAAAGAAAAGTTTACCAATACTAATATACAATCTAAAGAACAGGCTTGACTATTAGAAGAAAACAAACACACCTTATTATCTTTTGGACCTTACTGATCTTGTCAATAATAGCCTAGTTACGTGTCAACAGGTTATAGGTCGGGCGGATCTCTTGAAAATGATCAAAACATAAGACTGTACCTATACATTGTAATTTCATAATTTTAAGTAAAAAATATCAGACTCAGCAAGAGCACCGTTTGAATCATTGCCTCATTGGTCATGGGTTTACCGGTCCAACCATTCAGTTAACCACTTGACTATTAGAATAAAAAATTATATAAAATAAAGAAAACTTTATAAAAATGGAAAAAATAAAAAATAGTTCAAATACGGGAAAGGCTTTGACCAATCAAAATCCGATCTGAACTCAAATCTTAATGAGTTTGAATATGAGAGCTAATCAAATATAATAGGTGTCTCAAAACTCTCACCACTTACTCTTTTCAAGAGCTCATATGGAACTTCACCACTCAGAATTTGTACTCTCATCTTGATAAGCTTGCTACTACATTCCAGGAGTTCAAACACGCAGCCATCTCCAACCATAAGATTGTTTTTGACTGCAAAATCTCTCCAGCTGGTGGAATCAAACCGTTTAAGGGCCCGGTCTCCATAATAGAGCATATTCCAGTTCTTATTCTGGTAGATGAGAATAACAGGAACCAAAGCTGATGGAAGCATCGAGCGGAATTTGTTGGGAATTGGCTATATGAGAAACAGAAAAAAAATATTAGATAATTTTATCCTAAGTTTAAATCAAAATTAGTTGTGAAGTTTATAATAGAAATATTACAAAGGGCTCTTGACACCACTAACAAGATGGGACCCTTCATTATGAATACTATGACCTTAAGGAACTTCAATGCTTATCATCCAACACCAAATGACTTCATTTGGAAAGGAAAAGTTTAATAATAGATGTTACAGCAAGGGATTTCATCTTTGTTCCATACAACTTATAAGCTTGTGTCTTGTTGAATTATAATATTCTAAGTTGCAACTTCATCTTATGGACAAAAAAAGTATTTAAAAACTACAAGTCAAAGGCATGGGTGCATGTGCTGACACATTCCCTTGGGGCTTCTCTTCGAAAGATCTTTTGAAATTTGAATCTCATAACATGTGCCGTCTTTTTTTTCTTTTACTGGGAATCTCTACTTGCCTCGTTATTTTTGCTACTATCCTTTAAATAAGATCTTCATCTTTAGTTGCATGGATATTTCATGAATTCTGGTTGAAGTATAAAAAATAATCCAAGGTACCTTTAGTATATAATCTACTATGACCTAGAAGAGCATGAAGGAATCATGCTGAAGACAGTATCTTAAGACTTTTTATCTGGTTATATCAACCTAACTATCCAATCTATCAATCTTTTCCTTGCCTAGCAACAATACACATTTTCTGAACTAATAACAAAAAAAAAAAAAAGAACAGAACTCCATTAGCCCAGATCTTTAGACAATCTGGATAAATTGATTTTTTATGTAGATCTTTTATCAAGTTTTTTTGATCAATGATCTTTTATCAAGTTATTCAGTTGATGGTAGATTCCAACTCTCTATCACATTTCACATGCACAGGCTAACTGAACACTATGTGACTAGTGACTATTCTCATTGTCCATTTATGGAAGTTGAGAGAACTAATTACCATTTGAAATCTTGGTTTGAGCTGGCATGCTGAGAGAATGCAATGACAGTAAGGCTTGTCTGAGAGACACCAAAATTTGCCTTCTTTCATCATGCCAGACATCAATTCAGGTTGGTTCTGTAACTCAGCCTTGAGATCGCAGGTTCTTCATTACCTTACCTACAAAAAAATGAAAGGTCTCCAATAAGGATCAGCAAACAAGCTACAAAATTAAATTTATTATGTAGCATTTAACACATCTATTTTAAAAATCTAAATGATATACATAGTAAATATTAATTTATGCAATGTTTATCATTTTCTTGTCCTGAGGAAAGATTAACAATGAAACCATCAGCAGAATTTGCCAGAGTATCTGCCTGCATAATAAAGTTAGTATTGATTGAATGAACATCAAGATCTAAGTTGAAAGAATTGCATGCATACAAATTTCTATATAGAAGTTCTTGAACAACAAAATCAACCTTGGCACTAAAAATGTGCAACTAATGAAAACTATCTATGAACGGTAAAATATTGACAAAATTGTTTTCTTTCAATTAATTATATCTTCATAACAGATGGGTATGTATAGGCGGGGGGTGGAGGGGAAGGATACAGATGAGCAATATCTGAACTCCTGTAGCACAATAGCATGAATCTAGCATCTCTCCACAGTTTTCTGTTAAGTTCTTGAATCCACTAATTTAGCCACATCTTAGTGTCGCACTGTCACCTAGACTGAACAAGAAAGCGACAAGAGCAAGAATGATTTGATATCCTTTTAGAGAGCCCAGATCTCCTAAAAGCAAAAATCGTGCAAACACCCTGAGAGCATGTCATCCAGCCAAATATCTCCCGTACTTGTATGTTAAATGAGGAGGTGTTTCCAATGTGTGGCTGGATGCCATGCTCTCAGGGTGTTTGCACAATTTTTGCTTTAAGGAAATCCCCTCCCTTATAGAAAGAATGAGATTATCGATAGATAAATAAAATATTAGAACCAAAGAAAAGTGGATAGATCTTATCATCTTTCATTCTTCAAATCTGGCTAGGTGTCCTACCTTTTTAATATAATAGATAATAAGATAATGACTAGCATCATCTGAAAACAAACAGGCAACAAATGCATTAAGTTTGTTATCCTACATCTCATCCATATGCATATAATATCTGCAGTCAAATGTAATGCCATAGAGTTCAAATCACCATAACCATTTTGCAAGGAGAAATGCATTTTTATCATCTGCTCCAATCCTTTAATAACTCCCCTCCTTTCTGTTTCAAACAGTACCCCAATTAATGAGAATCATTTTTCGAAGCCCTCCAGTTTCTACAAAATGTCACTACTGATATTATCTAACTCTTTTAATTACTTTCAAAGAGGTTCTCAACATAGAAAGAAATAGACTGGCAAGTCTAAAGACAGACATAATAAAAAGTAATTCTCCCATACAGGAATGAAATTCCGTCTCTGGTGAATAACCTCTTCCAAAGTCTCAACTCAAACTCAGCCTTAATCCCAACTACTTGGAATCTTCATTTTTTTGGTAGACAACCATTTGGGGTCAGCTATCTGGATCTTAACCCACCATTGTGCTGTATCAAGAGCCATGATTTATGTCAAACTCAACTCAACTAAGAATTATCCCAACTATAAACTATATTGGCTACATAAATCCTGTCCCACCACTCCACTCTGTTCAGCATCATATCCCTTGTTAAATAATGGACCCTCAAATCATTTCTCACTACTTCAGTCCACATCCTTTTTGGCCTGCTTTATTTCTTCTATACCCTTCAACTCACAACACAGATGGTGTCAACTGACTCAGTTGGTAAGGTCTAAAACAGATCACTTCATACTGGTGTTGTGTATTCTGGGCATGTGACCTAACCATCCTATTCTACTATCCTTCATTTTATCACCTATTGGAGCTAGGGATGGCAATTTTCCCCATCCGTCCATCCCCACCGAGTACCTGGCCTCCCTGACCTGATGGGGTCGGGGATGGGGAGTGAAGCCCCCATCCCACCCCGATATATATATATATATATGTATAACTTTCATCTCCAGCAAGGATCAGGGGTCGGGGATGGGAAATATGATCCCAGCCCCGAACCCGCCCCATTGTCATTCCTAATTGGAGCCACTCCTAACATCTTTGAAAGTCCCTCAACCACAATGTCCGGATTCCCTAGGTGAAAAACAAAGAGATCCATTGAGTAGAAGGGATCGCATCATACTACCACACTTCCCTAATTCATTTACTTTGAGGTCTGTTTTGGATAGGTTGCCTTTCTGAAGTTCCTAGTTGTCAAGGCATAAAGGGGATTTGATGGGGTCAAAGATCGGCCCTGGGTTGAACAACCACATGGAATCCTAATGAAATGACATTGGCTGAGCTGAAGATCAATATGTGTTCAGAGCTTAGACAGGCTGGGGAATGGTGATGTGGCACGCCCTCATATGCTCTAAGGGTTAACATTGGTGCATGCCACAACCCTCAGACTAAGTGGGGACATTGGAAAACACTAGACGAGGCCCGCCATACCACCAAGGTCAGCACCAATATCCCCAAGTTTCTCGCGTGAAACATTCAGCGACCACCCCTCAAACCTTGGTTGCCTACCGCATCAAAAGTTGACACGTTTCCCACTCGTGAAGAGTGTGACACTCCCTAGTATGTATATAATGTCATGTTGCCCAAGGTGAGACTATTCTTCACACAACTTATCTCTTGAACTCTTTTTGCTCTATGCTCACTAAAGCGCTTCAGCTCATATGACTACGACTAGCTTGGCCCAACTAGCTCAACCTAGCTAATCTCTCCATTATGTTACTAACTTGAGCATCAAAGTGCTCCACCCCGAGGAACCACCTCGAGGTTTCTGACTTCTGTGTGTGCAAAAGTTGGACCAGTCCAGCTCAGCAACAAATTTATCGGATGCTCGCCCACCTCAACTCAAACAACATAAAGATTATAGGAAATGGTGGAGCACCTAATCACCCAGGCACTCAGGCGTTGCCTTGGTAATAGAATTTGACAAATAAAAACACTAAATTTTAGTTAATTCAATAGTTTTATATGTCAATTAAGATGTTATAAATTGAAAAATAACAACATTATTAACTAAATAACAATGGATTTTATATCAATATATGGCAAATCATCATATCTAAAAAACAATAGCATTTCAGATGTGTTAATTTCAATATTTCAAATAAAACATTAGAAATAATTAAGAAGGCTATTATATTATAAATGAATTATGAAAAAGAGAGAGAAAAAGTAATGAAAAGGAAAAAACATAAGGGGCTAAGCCCTTGTTTTATTTAGTGAGTGTCTGATAGAGAGTAATTAAAAAAATAGAAGAAAAGGGAATATCCTCTTTTTATCTTTCTATTTTTTTTCTCTCTTATCAAAACCTTTTTATCTTATTTATGTTTCAATAGAAAAATTCTAAAATAAAATATATATAGTATAATGTTTCAAAACACATTAATAAGATCTGCCCATAGTAATAATATCATAATAAGGCATCAACCTTATAATTTTTGTTGCCTAGACGGTTGACTAGTCACCTAGATGAAATAACTTGTTGCATTGAGGCTGCATGCCCCTACCAAGCAAGCTTTGACACCTAATTGATGCATTGAAACTATGGCAAGGTTGACTTTTTTTTATGGGAACGGTAACTTTCATTTATCTTTAAGGAAAACTAGTACAGCTGTTACCTTCATAAGCAAGGTGACCCCTCAACATGAAAATAAATGACAAACACGCCCAGAAAAGGTTTTCCCTATTAATTCCTTGCTTTGCTAAGGTGTCAGCCATTACATTGGCTGACCTCCTAGTCCATTTAAAGTGTACTTCAAGCTGTTATGGGCCCGAGCGTAGGATCCCGTCACGGGTCGGTCCACGGTGCGAAAGCCCCCTGCTTCCCCTTGCGCCTTCCCTTGCTTACAGACCCTATTACGGAAACCCAATGGGTGATTTGTCCAAGAGACCACCCGAACTCTCCTTTGGGGTGATTTGTCCAAG